AACTGTGTATTCTTTAACACTGTGAAATATTTGTCTTTGTTTTGTCTTTTGGTTGAAAGTAAATTTGTTCGGTTGCTGCCAATTCTGCTAAACTGTGTATTCTTTAACACTGTGAAAATAGTATTTGTCTTTGTTTGTCTTTTGGTTGAAAGTAAATTTGTTCGGTTGCTGCCAATTCTGCTAAACTGTGTATTCTTTAACACTGTGAAATAGTATTTGTCTTTGTTTTGTCTTTGGTTGAAAGTAAATTTATCCATTCAAGTTTCAATTTGCAGAAGAATTTATAGTTTACTTTCGCAACACGAAACTTAAAATCGCAACGCGAAACCAAAATCGCAACGCGAAATGAAAATCGCAACGACAGAATCGCAACGCGAAACCAAAATCGCAACGACAAGATCGCAACGCGAAACCAAAATCGCATTGCGATTTTCATTTCGCGTTGCGATTCTTTCGTTGCGATTTTCATTTCGCATTGCGATTCTGTCGTTGCGATTTTCATTTCGCGTTGCGATTTTGGTTTCGCGTTGCGATTTTAAGTTTCGTGTTGCGAAAGTAAACTATTTCTTCTTCTGCAAATTGAAACTTGAATGGATTGCATTACTTCAACCAATAGACAAATCAAAGACAAATACTAACTTCAGGGTATTAGTTTGAAACATATTTTTCTTTGTTATCTGATGCATTTTGTGAAGTATGATAGAATAATGACTTGGGTGAATACAATGCAAGTTTGAAACATATTTGTCTTTGTTTTCACTGTTTAAATATCATGTCTGTTTATTTACTGATTTTTGTATTTAATTATTTAGCGGCCCGATAGAGTGGATGCTTTACGTCGGGTTATGCTTGCACGACGGAGTTCACGCATCAGACAGCGTGCACGTGCTATTAAGTCTCCGTACACCCCAATAGTGCGAAGACACCGCAAGAAGAAGCCCGACTCGCCTGTCATCCCTCAAGAGTCCACTCCTATCGTTGAAGAGGCCCCCCATATCATTCCTCGAGAGTCCCCTCCCACCGTTCAAGAGGCAACTGTCATCGTTGAAGAGGTCCCTCCCACCATTCCAGAGCCCGATTCACATGGGGTAATATATCGAAGTATTGAGAAACCCCCACCGGTTCCGGACATGATGGATGAGAGTTGGCTCTCGTATGAGTTACCGGCCAGTACCATACCGGTATCTGAAGAGGAGAGGGAACAACTACCGGACACAATTTTGGATAACACCCTTTGGGCTAAGACCGCAGTTGATTTTTATCTACATGAGCGGAGCAAGGGGTGTTTCACTGACATATGCAAGCTCACCGATGATATCTTTTTGTTGCTTGAACGGCCTTGGTGGGGCGTATTATTAGGGGTCGAAGACAATGGCTATTTCGATGGGGGGGTAAGTCTTATATTTTTCTTATATTTCAATTTGATTAATTTTTTTTTTAAATTTATGTAAGTCACTAATATATGTCTTTTTTTGTAAAACAGCATATCGATGCGTGGGTGACACGTCTTCTAATAATAAGAAAACTTAAGAAAATAAAAATATACGATATACAATAATGCCGACGTCTTTTCACGCCGTTCACTTGAAGAATGCACGAGATGAATCATTTGATTTGGGCAATGGACAAGCTAAACTTTATCCTGCATGGTGGGAGGTCGATAAGGTTAGTATTTTTATCAATAAAAGTCCTAACTTGAAACATTTTGCAATCTTTTATTCTCTTTGCAATCATACGCCACGTACAGTTTTTGTCAATCATACACCTTGTTTCGAAACGATCTTTGCTTGATTTGTTAACTTTTAGTTGATAGCCATCTTCCACACATTTCGTATATAAAGCTATCTTCAAGTCTTCCTTTGTATCAAAACAATCATCTTTCTTGATACGAATAACTTTTGTGTAACAATCAACTGCTTTCTTTATCAACTCTTCTTCCGGTATCTGAAGTAATTCTGGCATATTCCAGTTATACGCCCGTGGCATTTTCTTTTCTTCGGGGACTTTTTCTTCTTCTTTTTCTTCTTCAGGATTATATGAATTACAGAATGGATGTTCAACATGTTCATTCACAGTCGTAACTTCCTCCTCATTATCATCAACATTACATTCTTCGGCAACGGCTGTTTCATCATCAAAATTCGGGTATTGACCAATATCAATATCATTACACGCATGGTCTGTTTCTTCTTCTGAAACATCATCAAAATCCGTGTATTGACCAATATCAAAGTCCGGATATTGACCAAGACCAAATTTCGAATACTGACTAGTACTCACAATTTTTTCTGTTGGCTCATCATCGTCTAACTGGTCAATACGAAAACCGGAATTTGGTGCTGAAAGTTGATTGGGATTTGGATTAGAGAAAGGTTGTGGGTTTTGAGAAAAACTTAGTTGATTACTACCCGCTACTGACCCAACAATACTACTTCTAGGTTCAACAACATACAATGTAACATCATCTTGTGAAACACTAATGTAAGCAATGAATCGTTCAACATCTTCATTGTCGGTTAACAAATAAACTTTACCATTTCTCTGATAAGATAGCCTAAATCCACTTAGGGGCTCTAAATTCAATTTATTTGAAACACGTAGCATTAGAGTTTCATAAGTTAACTTTTGTAAAGACAATTTTAGTTGAAGATTTATGGGTAAAGGCATATATTGTAAAACACCATTAACATTATCCCATGACCCTCCAAAACACAAATCTATCCAAACATGATCAACATTAGATGATTTCATGGTTGTAACTAAACAAACGAGATGCGAAACTAAGACCTGTTGCCGGATGGGGAAGGATGTCGTTGGATATAGGAACGGATGTCGCCGGAGAGAGTGATAGATGGAGATGGAATGAGTTGCGATTTAGGGATTTAGTTTATGATTTCAGTGTTATATACCCAAAATTTCAGTGTTGTGATTTACAGATTCTCGTTGCGATTTACGGATTATCGTTGCGATTTACAGATTCTCGTTGCGATTTACGGATTATCGTTGCGATTTACGGATACGCGTTGCGATTTACGGATTATCGTTGCGATTTACGGATACGCGTTGCGATTTACGGATACGCATTGCGATTTACGGATACGCGTTGCGATTTACGGATACACGTTGCGGTTTACGGATACGCGTTGCGATTTACGGATACGCGTTGCGATATACGGATACGCATTGCGATTTACCCATACGCGTTGCGATTTACGGATACACGTTGCGATTTACGGATACGCGTTGCGATTTATGTGTTCGCGTTGCGATTTTCATATTCGCGTTGCGATTATGGAAAATCGCAATGCGAATTTGTACTATCGCATCGCGATTTTCAAGAATCGCATTGCGATTCTGGAAACTGATTTGCGATTCTGGGGATCGCGTTGCGATTTTTATTTCGCGTTGCGATTTTGTTGGTCATTTTGGCAAATCCAAAAAAAGTTGGTTAAAATCGTATATTATAACTTTTTTTTGGTCACTGAGGCGATTTTCTCTTTGGTTATTTACTTGCCTCGTTTACTTAATATAAACGAGAACCCACGTGGAGATTTGTCAAACATCTAAACCAAAATACCACGTGTTATCGCCACCTGTCCCTTTACAAAAAAGCTTTTCTCTTTCGCCTGTCATTTTCAGGTAATTATACTCAGTTTTAAAATACGATTAAAAAAATATCTTATTAAAAATTTAAATATTTTTGATAAAATAATATCTAAAAAAATATTTTTCTTATCGGAAATTTTAATGTCGTTACTTAATTTTTTTGTAGGAAAATAATATTTTTAATATTAATATTTTTATAAAAAATAATAATGTTTTAAATAACGCTTTATCGAAAATATTAAATATTTTAAGCATCATCTAATATTAACATTTTTGATAAAAAATATTTTAGATAGTACTTTACTAAATTTTTTAAAAAATATTAATATATTTACTAATATATTTCTTTAATCGTATATTAAATTTATCGTACCTTAAACATCCCATATTTCTCAAAGGTATTTACTTTAATAAAATACTTATTTCCTTTTCCCCATTTAATAAATCAATTTCTTTGATTGAACGAGAATCTATGTTTATGAGTCAAATTATGGTTTTTGTCCTTTTATTTTCCTAAATTTTATATATAGTCATTATATTTTAATTTAACATAATTTAACTCTTGTAAAATTGTTAAGGCTTAATATATAATCTGTTAATCAAATTTACTATTTTTAATGTCGTTACTTAATTTTTTGTAAGAAAAATAATATTTTTAATATAAATATTTTTATAAAAAATAATAATATTTTAAATTACGCTTTATCGAAAATATTAAATATTTTAAGCATCATCTAATATTAACATTTTTGATAAAAAATATTTTAAATAGTGCTTTACCAAATTTTTTTAAAAATATTAATATTTTCACTAATATATTTCTTTAATCGTATATTAAATTTATCGTACCTTAAACATCCCATATTTCTCAAAGGTATTTACTTTAATAAAATACTTATTTCCTTTTCCCCCTGTAGACACCCGTTTTTGTCCGAGTTTAAAAAAATATTATTTATTTATTATTACTATTACTATTATTATTTATTATTATTATTATTATTTATTATTTATTTTTTATTTTTGTAGGTGCCATATTCAACCCCACCATTCTGTTAAATCCCTAAAAATCTGGCTAGTGCAACTAAACTCAACCGAACGTGGACTCCCGGGAACGTGCGCGCCCACCACCTCGCATGTCCAGTGCAACTAACCTCGCATGTTTGCTTCTTTTTCGCTTAAAAAAGGGAAAGTGGGAAGCTGGCCTTGACTTTAAATAATGTTGGGGGAGAAGACATGAAGGGGATACGAAATACGGGGGGCAGTTTTCAGCAAAAAGGAGGGGAACATCAGGGGAACTTTGATTCAATCTTTTTCATTCTCACCTGCGACTCGTGCCTTGGAAAACCCAGCTTTCCCTCAAGGCTTACCTACTCCTGGGAAAAAGGGGAGGCTCAATGATTCTTCTCCTCCATGACCTCCCCGAGCTTTGGTATTCATGGCGTCACCAAATCGTGTCTTTATCTTCCATGGGTTACCGAGACGTTGCCCCGGACTTAAGAGGCTTTGGTGACTCGGATGCCCCCGACACAGTGGCGAGTTACACTTGTTTCAACATAGTCGGCGATGTGGTTGAGCTGATAAACTTGGTGGCTCCCGATGAACGCAAGGTGTTTGTGGTGGGGCATGACTGGGGAGCTTACATGGCTTGGTACTTGCGGATGTTTAGGCCTGGTAAAGTGAAAGCTGTGGTGAATTTGAGTGTGTCGTTTATTCGGCTTGGTCGGGAAATCAACCCCCATTGATGCCTGGAGAGCTATCTACGGCAACGATCATTATGTCTCGAGGTTTCAGGAAGTTGGAGAAATGGTGAAACGCTTTGAACTGATTTTCCTTTATTTTTTTTGCTTACGTTTGATATGATACATTGTGAATGTGTTGTTTTCGTAAACGTTTATGCTTGATTTATTAGATCTATTGGTATTTACTGCCCATTTGCAGTTGAAATTCCCAGATCCAATGTTTTTCTTTTACTTTTTATATTTCTAGCAAGCTTATGCATAACGAGGCAATATTTATGTTTATTTATTTGCAACGTTGAATTGTATCTGCTGAAATATTTTACCCTATACTGAAATACGTACATACTTGCATCCATACCTATATACGTGAAAGGTTTTGTTATGTTTATATATGCAGTGCGTTTTAGTTAATTGTTTAGTATGTTATATTGTTTTTATTAGACGATGTCTGATTAAAATTCATTTGATGTTTATTTTCCTGTATCTATGTGTAAACACTCAATTTCGTCCCGGTTTCTTTTTTATATTTGATATTTCTTTATTATTTTTATTTTACAATCTAACACTTTTGACCATTTTTAGAGAAATTTCAACTGATTAAAGGTAAGTAATTCGAATCGAGTTTTTTAAATTTAAATTTCAATTTTCGCATTTAAAGACAATCGACAAATTAATTGGTACCGAAAGGGCGGTTCAAGGGTGCTAATCCTTCCTTGACCGTAACCGACTCCCGAGCCCGACATATTTCTGGTGAAACGCAGATCAGGTAAGATGGTGTCCGGCCCACCTAAATTCGTTTTAAAGTGGTCGGTGGCGACTCTAACCCAATCAATTCAAGTCGAAGCCCAATTCTGGGGCCCAACCGAAAGACGGTTGCGACAGCTTGGCGACTCTGCTGGGGACAGGTAAGTGAGTCAGGCCAGAATTAATTTTCAGTTGTCTTTTTATGCGAAAATAGTAAATTTAACTTATTTATTCGATTCCATTTATTTACCTTTGATTATCCTTCAAGTAAATAGTTGTACTAACGTTTGTTCAATGATTTCAGATTTTTTTAAAATTTTCATCTTTGGCTCTATACCCGAGTTCCAAACCCTTTTAAGTGGGGGTGAAAGCGACGCATTCGTGTGAATTTATTCACCGCATATGCCTAGCAAGTAGCCTTCGGGATTCATATACCTTATGTCTTCGTGTGAATTTATTCACCGTGCGGGCATAAGGGAATGTTTCCTCTCGAGTTTAACTTAGTCCACATAAGCTTGTAATGGGCTTAGGACTAAGGGTCTGGCAAGCCCAAGGGGACACCAGCAAGGAGAACTCGAGTACCTTTTTAGAACCTAAACCGGGAGATTATGGAGAATTAGAGCCCACCCCAAAACCTCATTCCAAACCCTATGCTGCTTTATTTCCTACTTTACTTTCTGTTCGAAGCATGTGAACTAGGCAAATATGCGGTTAGGATTTGTTTGAAATTAGCATGCGGGATAGAGATCATGTCTGGGTAGGAATACTAAGCATGTTCGGGTAGATATCATGTGGGGTAGGACTTTTCATTTTCATCTTTTTTTTATTATTATCCTTATCTCACTAACTTTTTTTCTCCTTTCATTTTTGTTCTTTTGCATTTTTTTTTATCATTCACATCATTAAAACGAGGTGTTGATCCACAAAAAATGTGTTTGTTAAAACATGAATAATCTGTATTAATGGACAAAGGGGTTATAATACAAAGAGATAAAAAGCTCAGAAGTCCAACCGGTATCAAAAAATAATTAGAGGCAAAGGTTTCAGGGGCAAGACGAGGAAATAGTTATTGACCCGGAGAGTCCTTTCAAAAATTACGAGAACAAGATGGTGAAACCCTAGCTAAGCTGGAGACCATTGTTGATGAATTCCAAAAATAAGTCGACAAACTTCGGATGGAGGGCTCCAATGGCACTTTCGTTTGGAACGAGCTCGGCATAGAGTGAAGGCCGGAGATGCAGTCATTCGAGACATTTTTTGGGGCAAGCAACTAATCACCCGCACAAGTTTAGCCAAAGGAGTCGGAATGGTTCGACAGGATATTCAACCGATGAAAAAGCGGAAGACGAATCAACTTTCCAGAGACTGTGCGGGATCTATACCATCAAAAAGTTTTTTGTCTCTTCAGACGTAACATTTTTGTCCCCAGTGAGGATTATTCAGAATAATAGGCACATTTTTCGGATCAATGCCTCGGACATTTCATGCATCATGCATTTAAACATTTTGCATTTTGTTCATTTCTTTACATTCACATTAATTATCTTCACATGTTTCATCAAAAATGGGAACATTTCGACCCTATTCCCATGACCTACAAAGAGCTCTACAAATAACTTTTTGACACACACATGTGGTGTCACCGTATCCAGGGAAATCCATGAAGCCCCGTACCCCAGGTAGTATGATGAGACGCTCGTTGCGAAAATCATAGCGGAGTCCCAGGGCACACTATTGAGAATTACTCCACAATCAAGAGAATCATACAGAAAATACGTAACAAGAATCGGATCAACTTCAACAATTTGGGGGCATCCAAGTGAGGAAGATCATTTCATCATTTGAGGCATTCTGTTTGAATCTGTTTTTTCATCATTTCTTAAGTTTTTGTAAGGACTTTTGAATAAATTTATGTTACTTTAAAGATGATAAGCAATGGATCACATTTGCAAACTTGCAATTCTTTGAATATCATTTGAATTAAGAAACTCTGTGAATGGTTCAAAGTTACGGATCTTTAACAAAATAACATGTTTTAAAACAATGAATTTGACTTTACCCAGAATATACACTCAAACACCATACCCTGCTCTTGTAATTAACCAATATACCCTTTTCCTTTCATAAGGTGCGGACAGCACGGGGCATCATTTGCATATGACAATTACTATGTTTTTTATTTAAGACGTTCAATGACGATGATGATCTTTACAAATGAAAGAGTCGAGTAGGTGAATCCAGTTTAGGTCAGTTGCTTGAAAATTGAACTCTAAAGATGAGATTCCTTGACTTTCAAAAAACACCTAGGCTATAACAGGTTCTTCTTAACAATCTTAGGAAATTAAATCCGTAAAAACTGAGCTATTTCGCTAAGGCAATTGGTTATAGAGGAAACTTGAAAGCCCTGGCCTTATGATTAGATTACGTTCAAACCATGACATTGCTCGGACACTTGGCAATTCGGTGTTTGCTCCACTGCTCTTGTCAGGCTGAAGACTCTGTGATGAGATGAACCCTTCAGTTAACTTGATAACTGTGATTATAATATTAAGCTGTCCCTCTAAAGCAATTGGTTAAACGCCTCGGCTTTATGGATTCAGCTAGTCAGATAACGACAAATTAAATCAAATTTATCTAAGCAAGAAATTTTCGGTAAAATGGACTAAGGGAGTTAAGGAACACCTGTTATAGTCAACTACACACGAGCACTCAAGAATTTCATTTTTAGACCGATGTTTTTGCACTGCCTTTATTAGAGGAGCCTACAAAGCTTGAATAAATAAAAGATTTCAGAGGACTGAAATAAAAGGTCTAGTAAGTGATCATGCTAGTTGTGTCATTTTGTCCGCACCCAATTAAAGTGCCAAAGCATGTTGCGATATTTCAAAAAAAATGACATTTTTTTCCAAAACCTTATAATGGAGGCCAAGCTAAAGCCAACCCATCCATTTGACACTGGTCCAAGAGCTGTAACTCTGAAAATGTTAAAAGAGCTATTGATTCCTTTGATATTCTTTGAACTCATGTTTATAATTTGATTTAATTGCGAATAATATTTTACAGCCTTTTTATCGTTTTCTCTCCTGAAACAAGAAAAATGAGAAAAATATTTTCAAACAGAACAATCTCAGATATGAAATGTCTGTAAAGCCCAAGCTCGAGAAGCAAATGGGGCACGATCGATTCCATGGACCAGATTGGCAGACAAATCACGAAGAGATAACACATAATTCATTCATGTTGCATGCATCTTAGATATACTTAGGTGCGTCACATTCATCATTTTAACATACACGTTTTTGCAGCTTTTAGAGTCAAGTTTTGACTTCAGGATGAAGGATACTCGATTCTCAAGCGCCTTCAAAGAAGGATGGTGGTTGTTTAACTCAGCAGTAAGGAGCTACACCTCAACCGACTTGATATCTCAGAACCAATTTCAGATAGGTTCGAGAACCAGTTCAAAACAAATCCAGTTCGACTCAAACTCATCCATGAGCATCATGTTTCCAGTTAAAACTTTCAAGCCAGATTTCAATTCCACGACGGAAGATATCCGACTCAAAAATTGGCGAAAAGGGTCATCATTCATTTAAAGGAAATTTACAGCACAGCTTAAGTCAAGAAAAGTTATTTGTCAACAAACAACTTCTCAATTTCAGAGCCAATTTCAACTTCACAACGAAGGATATTGGACTCGAGACAACGCAAGTTCAACTTCACGACGAAGGGACCGCTGGTTGTCAACAAACAATTTCCCAATTTTGGAGCCAATTTCAAACTTCACAATGAAGGATATTGGACTCCAGACAACGTAAGTTCAACTTCACGACGAAGGGACCGCTGGTTGTCAATAAACAACTTCTCAATTTCGGAGCCAATTTCAACTTCACAGCGAAGGATATTGGACTCCAGACAACGTAAGTTCAACTTCACAACGAAGGGACCGCTGGTTGTCAACAAACAACTTCTCAATTTCAGAGCCAATTTCAACTTCACAACGAAGGATATTGGACTCGAGATAACGCAAGTTCAACTTCATGACGAAGGGACCGCTGGTTGTCAACAAACAACTTCTCAATTTCAGAGCCAATTTCAACTTCACAACGAAGGATATTGGACTCCAGACAACGTAAGTTCAACTTCACGACGAAGGGACCGCTGGTTGTCAATAAACAACTTCTCAATTTCAGAGCCAATTTCAAACTTCACAACGAAGGATATTGGACTCCAGACAACGTAAGTTCAACTTCACGACGAAGGGACCGCTGGTTGTCAATAAACAACTTCTCAATTTCAGAGCCAATTTCAAACTTCACAACAAAGGATATTGGACTCCAGACAACGCAAGTTCAACTTCACGACGAAGGGACCGCTGGTTGTCAACAAACAATTTCCCAATTTCGGAGCCAATTTCAACTTCACAACGAAGGATATTGGACTCCAAACAACGTAAGTTCAACTTCACGACGAAGGGACCGCTGGTTGTCAATAAACAACTTCTCAATTTCAGAGCCAATTTCAACTTCACAATGAAGGATATTGGACTCCAGACAACGCAAGTTCAACTTCACGACGAAGGGACCGCTGGTTGTCAATAAACAACTTCTCAATTTCAGAGCCAATTTCAACTTCACAACGAAGGATATTGGACTCCAGACAACGCAAGTTCAACTTCACGACGAAGGGACCGCTGGTTGTCAATAAACAACTTCTCAATTTCAGAGCCAATTTCAACTTCACAACGAAGGATATTGGACTCCAGACAACGTAAGTTCAACTTCACGACGAAGGGACCGCTGGTTGTCAATAAACAACTTCTCAATTTCAGAGCCAATTTCAACTTCACAACGAAGGATATTGGACTCCAGACAACACAAGTTCTACTTCACAACGAAGGGACCACTGGTTGTCAATAAACAATTTTCCAGTTTCAGAACCAATTTCAACTTCACATCGGAGGATATTGGACTCGGAACAATACTTGGATTTCAACTTCACGACGAAGGATATCCAATTCCAAGGCTCAACTTCACGACGAATGGGTCATATACGATTCCAACTTCACAACGAAGGGTATCGTACCCCAACAGTTTGACCCAACTTCACGATGATGGAGTCATCTCTATCACAATAACCGTATCACCCCTAGATGACCAGACCTTTTCATCACCTATGAGTAGTGTCGTTCCCCAAATCAAATCAGAAAAAGGAAAACCGGACAAAAAACTGGTTGTCTTTTTCATCTTTGCCCTATCCTTGTTAACACAAGAATGTGCAAAGAGGGGCAGCTGTAGACACCCGTTTTTGTCCGAGTTTAAAAAAATATTATTTATTTATCATTACTATTACTATTATTATTTATTATTATTATTATTATTTATTATTTATTTTTTATTTTTGTAGGTGCCATATTCAACCCCACCATTCTGTTAAATCCCTAAAAATCTGGCTAGTGCAACTAAACTCAACCGAACGTGGACTCCCGGGAACGTGCGCGCCCACCACCTCGCATGTCCAGTGCAACTAACCTCGCATGTTTGCTTCTTTTTCGCTAAAAAAAGGGAAAGTGGGAAGCTGGCCTTGACTTTAAATAATGTTGGGGGAGAAGACATGAAGGGGATACGAAATACGGGGGGCAGTTTTCAGCAAAAAGGAGGGGAACATCAGGGGAACTTTGATTCAATCTTTTTCATTCTCACCTGCGACTCGTGCCTTGGAAAACCCAGCTTTCCCTCAAGGCTTACCTACTCCTGGGAAAAAGGGGAGGCTCAATGATTCTTCTCCTCCATGACCTCCCCGAGCTTTGGTATTCATGGCGTCACCAAATCGTGTCTTTATCTTCCATGGGTTACCGAGACGTTGCCCCGGACTTAAGAGGCTTTGGTGACTCGGATTCCCCCGACACAGTGGCGAGTTACACTTGTTTTAACATAGTCGGCGATGTGGTTGAGCTGATAAACTTGGTGGCTCCCGATGAACGCAAGGTGTTTGTGGTGGGGCATGACTGGGGAGCTTACATGGCTTGGTACTTGCGGATGTTTAGGCCTGGCAAAGTGAAAGCTGTGGTGAATTTGAGTGTGTCGTTTATTCGGCTTGGTCGGGAAATCAACCCCCATTGATGCCTGGAGAGCTATCTACGGCAACGATCATTATGTCTCGAGGTTTCAGGAAGTTGGAGAAATGGTGAAACGCTTTGAACTGATTTTCCTTTATTTTTTTTTTGCTTACGTTTGATATGATACATTGCGAATGTGTTGTTTTCGTAAACGTTTATGCTTGATTTATTAGATCTATTGGTATTTACTGCCCATTTGCAGTTGAAATTCCCAGATCCAATGTTTTTCTTTTACTTTTTATATTTCTAGCAAGCTTAAGCATAACGAGGCAATATTTATGTTTATTTATTTGCAACGTTGAATTGTATCTGTTGAAATATTTTACCCTATACTGAAATACGTACATACTTGCATCCATACCTATATACGTGAAAGGTTTTGTTATGTTTATATATGCAGTGCGTTTTAGTTAATTGTTTAGTATGTTATATTGTTTTTATTAGACGATGTCTGATTAAAATTCATTTGATGTTTATTTTCCTGTATCTATGTGTAAACACTCAATTTCGTCCCGGTTTCTTTTTTATATTTGATATTTCTTTATTATTTTTATTTTACAATCTAACACTTTTGACCATTTTTAGAGAAATTTCAACTGATTAAAGGTAAGTAATTCGAATCGAGTTTTTTAAATTTAAATTTCAATTTTCGCATTTAAAGACAATCGACAAATTAATTGGTACCGAAAGGGCGGTTCAAGGGTGCTAATCCTTCCTTGACCGTAACCGACTCCCGAGCCCGACATATTTCTGGTGAAACGCAGATCAGGTAAGATGGTGTCCGGCCCACCTAAATTCGTTTTAAAGTGGTCGGTGGCGACTCTAACCCAATCAATTCAAGTCGAAGCCCAATTCCGGGGTCCAACCGAAAGACGGTTGCGACACCCCCTTTAATAAATCAATTTCTTTGATTGAACGAGAATCTATGTTTATGAGTCAAATTATGGTTTTTGTCCTTTTATTTTCCTAAATTTTAGATATAGTCATTATATTTTAATTTAACATAATTTAACTCTTGTAAAATTGTTAAGGCTTAATATATAATCTGTTAATCAAATTTACTATTTTTAATGTGAGATATGAATTTTTATCTAATTTGGTATCTTAAATTTATCATTTTTCTAACATGATACATGTATTTTTATCCTATTTGATATTTAAATTTGATACTAATTTTTTTCTCTAATATAGTACATCAAAGAGGTGACACTTTTGCCATATGTCACAACCTCATTGTCTTTTTTAATATACCATCATTATACATAAAAATTATCTAATTCAAAACATGTCAACTTTAAAGACTAAATTATATTAAATAATTTATAAATACCATATTAGAAAAGGTGAAAAATTTAAGTATCAACTCATATATTTAATTATTTTAAATAATTTACATCATTGGCTTTTCCAGTTTGAAATATTGACCTATTTTTTCTTAAATAGAGAATTTTCTCATCAGTCTTCACCATTTAAAGGATTAAGTGAAGTTGTGAATCATTTAAATTAAAAATAACTTTATAAAAATAAATAATAATAAATTTCCGATCAGTATATAAGAAGATTAATTAAAATGGTTATATATTTGTCTGATTAATGATATTATAAAAATAAATAATTAAATTATGTCAGACAAAGTTAAAGAGATTATATTCAAGATTTTGAGTATAGTATAGGGACCAAAACCAGAATTTGACCCTTTTCTTATACATGGTTAATGCTAACTCAGATCAAGGACTGGGTTTTGCTTCTGTTTCATAGGCGAAGACAATAGCTTTATTTTCAACAAGGAAAAGAAGAAGAAAAAAGTGTCTTTTTTGTTGGGTGTTCTATTCTCTATCTCATGTTTCCGTCAAAAATGGGGTCACAAGCAACTGAAAACACAAGTAGTAGTGTCAGTAGCAGCAGCAAAGAAATGGGGAATCTTTCTTTGCAAACAGAGAATTACCCCAAAAATCTATTACAAAGATTCATCCCAAGGGAGACCCAATCTTCAACGAGAAGTGAAGAAGAAGCAGAAGAGCAAGTGGAGCTGAATCTTGGGTTATCATTGGGAGGTAGATTTGGGGTCGATAAGCATGCAAACAAGTTGAAAAGGTCATCTTCAATTGCTGGTTCGATACCAATTTTTAGAGAAATCGATGGTGCCAATACTACTCCGCCATCTGTTCCTCGCCCAACTCTCATGAGAGCCTCTTCTTTGCCTACTGAGACCGAAGAAGAGTGGAGGAAGAGAAAAGAGTTGCAGACCCTAAGAAGGATGGCAGCTAAGAGGAGAAGATGTGAGAAGCAAAGGAGTTCAAGAGAGGAGAATAAAGCACTTCAGGGTACTTTCTGCAGCATTATATATGGGGGATTGTAGGTTTCTTTGTTTAGATTTTTTGATTTTATGTAGCTTCATTTGGTTGAGGATTTGATAACATTGCTTATAATTGTCACTAAACTTGTTTGATGTTCTTAAATATCTGCTAAACTTGTTGCTAGATCATATCATTGTTATGAGGAATGTTGCTTAAGATTCAACTTTATTTTTAAGCTATTGTATTGTATGCATTTTTTGTGCTCGGCACAAATTACCGGTTGCTGGTTAAACACACTGTGAATCATCATTAGAAGAGAGATAACTGATTAGTGTACTAGATTAAGGTTTAATCGATATTGTGAGGAGAGCAATCATCCTTGATTATTCAATAAGTGTGTGTTTACAGTTGTAATCGTCCTTGATCGGAGTTGCTTTCGATGCTCTTTGGATTTGCTGGTGAATTCCTTGAGAGTGATTGCATGGTTTTGAATACCCTGAATGTCACTTGAGCTGTTTTAGTTGATGTTTGGTGATAAAATGTGGAAGATTTTTAAATCCAACTCATACATGCTGAACTTGTTTCGACCAATTTGATATATAGTAGCTAGCGACCTAACCATTTGGCATGTTGGACATTGGTGTTGAGAATCTATGATCAAAATACCGATTACTCATTTGGTAAGGATCAGCTGGTTTTAATGCTTCCTATGATCACATTCATTGCAGGAGCTAGAAGTAGTGGTGAAGCAAGAAGCTCCGGTAGTTCCCTATCCTCGCAAGATCCTGGCAATCGAGAGGCTACAGGTTCTTCGTGGACAGAGACTGGCGAAACTCTACATAAGACGATTGAAAATAAGGGTAAAGAACGAGGGAACTTGATGGAAGATATGCCTTGTGTTTTCACAAAGGGAGAAGGTCCTAACGGGAAAAGAGTAGATGGCATTTTATACAAGTATGGAAAGGGAGAGGAAGTGAGGATAATGTGTGTATGCCATGGCAGTTTTTTGTCTCCGGCAGAGTTTGTCAACCATGCAGGTGGTGGCGATGTGGATCACCCTCTTAGGCATATAGTTATAAACCCTTCCTCTGCTCCCCTTTAGTAATGTCTGCAATAGTTGATTTATTCTTGCTGGTGTTTCATTGGACCAATTTTCGATTGCCCCTCTTTGGATTCTGTGGTTTCCTAGAAAAAATATATATTTATTGCAAATAAGGAAAATATATTGCAATGGTAAACCTGCCTCAGTCCACATTACAACTGCAAAGTTTGTTATGATTTGTACACTTGAACTGTTCCTTCCGGATCAAGTCATGCACCTAGAAACTGTATTATCTTATTCACCCTTCGGCCAACTTGACTCATAGCCGGCCTGTTTGTGAGACTATTGACTGTACGCTTGATGGCTAAGGGATACCAAATGATCACGAGGATCTGTTGCAGAGCATGCAGGCCCATGAGACGATATCGAAACCCTTTAGATACGAGGAGAATGAAGGATAAAAAGATTCTGAAAGCTTTCTCATCTGATATCAACTCGAGCAGCATGATGCCATAGCTGTAAACATCAGCCTTTTCGGATGCGTGGCAGGTCATAGCTTACTTGGATGCAACAAGTCCGAATGTGCCAGCTACACCGGTTGTTGCATGGATTTCAGAGGTTCCCAAAAGCATTGCAACCACTGTCCAACTATATGTTGCTCTGATTGACATCCCGATCCAGCACCTTCGAGGTGCATTCTTCGTGTAGATAAGCAAGTGCATGGGCGAAAATGTAGTTTTACCATTTTACCAACATATAATTTAATATTTTTAAAGGGGACAAATAGCAAAGTTTCTGCTTTTGGGGATAATAGTGATGGGGTAGGTAGGGACTGGATTATAAATCTGGAAATTTCTTTAGACCCATAATAGCAAAAATGCCATTGGAGACCACCTGCCTCGGTTGGTTTACTTCAATGAGAAATCTCAGCAACAGTAAACCTGTCTCGGCCAACATTACAACTGCTAAGTTTGTTACACTTGAGCTTTTCCTTGTAGATAAAGTCATGCACCTAGAAATTATATTATCTTATTGAAGAAGGTTGAATTCGTTTCAGCCTTCGGACAACTCGACTCATAGTGGGCCTGCTTGTGAAACTATGGACTGTACACGTGATGGCTAAGTGCAGCAGTTCTACCAAATGATCACGAGGACCTGTTTCCCATAACCGTGTAGTGAACACATCCTTTGCCTCACCCTGTCGCAGGCTCGCAGCAGCATGTAGGCCCAGGAGACGATGTTGAAACCGTTTGCATGCGAGGAGAATGAAGGATCGAAAGCTTTCTTATCTGATATCAACTCGAGCAGCACAATGCCGTAGCTGTAAACATCGATTCAAGATGCTCTAGATACCGACAATTACTTCCGAAACGAGCAAGAATCGACCTGTTTAGCCGATTACTAGACAAATGAAGCCCCTTCAAATTATGGAAAATACGAAAGTAATCAGGTATAGACCCTATTCCCAGCTAAATTCAGAACCCCCAAGTCCACAAGTTTTGACAATGACCCCGGAATCTCCCCTTCGAGTTCATTAAACCCGAGACTCAAAACCTTCAAATTTCTCAACCCCACAAATTCATGAGGCAGCTTCCCAATAAATGAATTCCCTTCAAGGTCAAGTTGTTCTAATTTCTCCAAACCTCAGATTTCTGAAGGAATTTCATCACCAAATTCGTTAAAAGAAAGAGATAAAACTCTAAGCTCAGTAAGTTTCCCAATCAAAGGTGACAAGTTCCCCATCAATTTCCGCTTTGAACATGTTCTTCTCCTCAATCCAAAACCAATAAATGGAAACTTAAGAGAGCTTTGAAGATCAACTAAAGCAACCTCGAGTAAAGTTATTACCTTCACAACAACCACCGGATAAGTCAATGGAGATGACCCGAGACCTTGAATTGCATGAAACACCAAACCAAGAGCAGTGGTTCGGGTTCTTTGAAAAATCCCAGCTTGAAAGTTTCCCAGATGGATCAAAAACAGAGCTTTTGAACGCCAACAAGATCCTTCTCTCGGGAACCAACTTCCCTGAAACCAAGCAGAAGACAACAAACAAGACCAAACCTTTACACAACAGATGACTTCTCTCATGTTTGTTTCCCAACAAAGAAAGGATCCATCTGTGCTTGAACCAGTCCACCAAAAGTCCCAAACAAACCACTCTTTCTGCTTCCCGGAGGAATAAAAAACTGATTTTTTTCCCCTGGAAACAAATAACAAAAATATTGAGAGGGTCTTTGGAGATGAAACATGCGTTTCTCTGTTTAATTTTTGCTTTATGGGGTCGTGGTGTTGGAAAATTTCGCTATCTTTCTCCCTTTTTGTTACCACATTTTAGTCTTTTTTTTTCCCAGGAAATGAAGGGGTGGAGGGGCCACCACGTAGGGTAAACGGGTGAGGGGAAGGGGTGATGGGGTCCATTTACCGGTCAATTAATGCATCATAACCTTCAATGCACAGCGGCTCCGGGGAAGACCACATGGAAACTTGTGGGGTCCTCTTTGTTTCTCTTACGTGGAATATCTTGCCCACTCACTAGAAGCTTGCGGTGTCGTTAACTTTTCACCGGAAAATAAGCAAAAAGGTAAAAATGAAAACTACGTGGGAACTTCAATTATATTTATAGTGTGTACGTATATTGTTAGTAGATTAAAAAAATATTAATTTAACTTCATACAATTTAAAAATAATAATATTATGTTAATTTATAGTTGTATGTTCTATGTAAGTGACAAGGAAATAAAATAAAATAAAATACATTATATTATATTTGTTGGAATTTTTTATATAAATAATGTTAACAATTATTATAATGTAACATTTAGCTGTAAACATGTGAAGATGGGATGGGCAAATTGAAATCTTAAAAGACACCGCCACACACCATTACAACTAAATCTTATGACATTAAATGTTTGATTGGGTCATCTCATCTTTGATTGGTGGATCAAAGGCTTCCATTTAATTTTATGAGTAAATTACACGTGTAGTACTTAGTTTATTAGTTTCGTTTTGTTTGATACTTAAATTTTTATTTGTTTTATAATTATACCTAACATTTATTTTTTATTTGAAATGACCATCAAGCTCAGTTGGTAGAGCACAAGGTTCTTAACCTTGAGGTCGTGGGATCGAGTCCTATGGAGGGCATTTCATAATTTGGAGGTCTCCTACGGAAGCTGCTCTCAACCTAGTGTTGGGGGGCAGCCTACTATCTTACATCCCCTTATCCCATTACATATGGGAACAAGGGACAACCATTTTTTTATTTATTTTTTTATTTCATTTTCGTATCTCACCATTAAAAACTTAACATAATTGTTGCACGTGACATTTTATGGGTAAATTATATTATTCATCACTTAACTATCTTCTCACTCCTATTTTGGTCACTAAAGTTTAAATTTTTTAATTTAACCACTGAAGTTTCAAGTTGCTCATGTTTTAATCACACTAATTTATTTTATTAATAAATTTTATGACATGACATTTTTTATTATTATTTATTTTATATAATTTAATTAAAAAATAAATTTGAAAGTTAGAGTCATTAAGTTATGACTAATTTGAAAGTTAAATAATTAAATTAAAAAATTAAATTTTAGTGACCAAAATAAAACTGAAAACATAGTTGAGTGATGAATGATATAATTTACCTATAAAAAGTGTCATGTCGCAGAAGTTTTGCTACGTTGTAACGACTAGGTACCAAAAAGAAACAAAAAGTAAACGTTAGGGATGATTTTGAAACAAATGAAAGTTTAAGAACTAAAACAAAAAAATTGATAGTTTGAGTACTAAACATATAGTTTATCCTAATTATCTCTAAATACATATAAAGGATCATTATAGTAATTTTCTAGGTTGAGTCAAGTTAGGACTTTTTATACCTTGAACTTGATTCATCTCTAATCCCAACTCTTCTCTACAAAACTTATTCTGACCCGTCCTAAATTTGAATTCTAATAAAAGTTGGAATCTATAAGTTTTTATCGGAACCTATCATATTTGAATATTTTGGTCATATTTAAATATAATATTAATATTTTAATAACTCAAATAAAGGTTTCTTTAAGTTCGAGGATTACTATAAAATTCAAAATTTTGTTCATGTTCCTGACATTAGCATTCATTAAATCGGCATTCACGATGCCCGTTGTAGACACTAATTTTTTGCCCAACAATACTATCCTCGTATTTCTCGGTAACAAGAATAACAACCAAGTCAAAATACTAAATCAAGGCATTTGAGTCCAAGTGGGACTCTAAAACTGAATAAAGGAGCGTTTCAGTTTGAATAGGACTCTACAAATCTATCTAAAAATAGCCAGTTTCATAGCTATAAATTGAGGCAAAAATAAGGAGGAATGGGGGGAACGGAGATCAACCCATAACCAAGCTAGAGAGTGAGGGAAACCAACAAGACACGAGAGAGGGGATACTCATCTTTGGACGATCTTCACCGAAAAGAAGAGAGGTCGTCGGAAATAAGGTGCCGAAGCTTCATCTCCAGATCCGCATCGGCCTAGTCGACGTTTGACAGAGCAAGTGCCTGATTCAAGCTCATAAGGCTACTGTTGGAAAAGTGATTTTCATAACCTTAAGCTTAAGGTTATATGTATGTTCTGGAACGCATAATTTAGTGGGAGGGGACCCACAAGCTAATAACATTGATTTGTGTATATTGACGTGTTTTCCCTTTAATTATTGTGTTTTCCCTTTAAATCTATTTGTGTAAATTGAAGAGTTTTGGATTTTCTAAGGGTTAATCCTTGTTTAGTCATGCCATCTTTCAACTTCATTTATTTTGGTACTTTTTATTGATTGGTTTATTTATTTTATTTTATATTTTTTTTATTTTTTACTAACGTTTATTTATCTGTTTTATCTTTTTATTATATTAATATTTTTTTATTTTTTTTATATATATATTTTTTAATCTAACAATATTTTTGACTTTAGGGATACTTTTCAACTAATCAAAGGTAAGCAATTCGAATCGGTTTTTTTTTAAATTCTAATTTAAATTTTAATTTTTCGCAATTAAGACAACTGATAAATTAATTGGTACCGAAAGGGCGATTCAAGGGTGCTAATCCTTCCTTGACCGTAACCGACTCCCGAACCCGATACGTTTCTGGTACAACGCAGATCAGGAAAGATGGTGTCCGGCCCACCTAAATTCGTTTTAAAGTGGTCGGTGGCGACTCCAATCCATTTCCCTAAGTCGAAGCCCAATCCCGGGGGCCCAACCGGAAAGACGGTTGCGACAGCTTGGCGACTCCGCTGGGGACCAG